GTAATTGCCCCCATGAATCTAAAGAGTTAATAACCAAAAAGATACGGTAGCATCTTAGACTTTTATTTCGATTGCAACTATTTAAGATAATAGTAAGCAGTTTTCAACAACTATTTAAGGAGGAATAATCAAAGCCTGATTCTTGCATAATGCATCTTTAGGCCATCTGTACTTGAATGACTTTTGATAAATATATAAAATTGAAAGGTGACTATGGTTCTGTTTTCTTGCCTTGTTACAGCGATTGCAACTCACGATTAAGTGGTTGATTGGTTCATCAGCTACCACCTGGAAATACTGCATTTGCGGGTGGTAGTGGTTGTTGGCGTTTGACAACAATTATAAGAACCGCTTTATACTGTTCCGTGTCGCTCTACATCTTTCAAAAGCAAAAGCTGTTACCCTCAAGCGTTTGCGGTTGCGGTTGGATAATTAAAAATTGATTTAAAATTTATTTATAAATCAGAATAAATATAATAAATTAAAAATTGATATTTTAGTAACTAGAATTACGAAATATATCAATAATTTAAAACTTTCTAATTAATATTTAATAACCTTATATATTATAAAATCTTCAAATCATAATTTTTAGATAAATTTGTAACAAACTAAAATGTTCAAAATCACATTAACCTGTTTAAAATAAAAAATTACTCTATTAAAATCACGATTTTCATCTTTTTTTATCACAATTATAATTTTTGTCTCAATTAAAATTTTTTATAAATGAACATAAGAAATATACTTATGGTATTCTATCACTAATTATATTGAATTAAGGAACATTTGCAAACATGCCACTTTTGTGTCAACATTTGAAAAAATGTCACTTTTGGTGTCCATTTGCAAAAATGCCACTAATTATGATTTTTAGAACCTAAATCTTAAAATTCTAAACCCTAAAAAATCTTTTGACCCTTAAAACCCCTTAAGCCTTCAAAACTAAACCCTAATACAACATAGTTAACCCAAAAATAAAAGATATAATGAATAAATAATTTTGAAAAAGTGGCATTTTTGTAAAGATTGTAAAAAAGTGGCATTTTTGTAAATTGTCACTTGAAAAGTGGTATTTTTTGAAATTTCTCTTGAATTAATAATTTTTTATATTTCATATTAATAGTA